TATATTAAGAAAATTATAACTTAAAATTTTTTTTTTTCAGTTCTTAATGGCTTTAATATTTTTTTGCTCTTTCCCTTTCTCTGGTTTTTAGTTTTTTAAATCTTACTGAATTCTTGTATAAGAACGGTATGCTTTTCATATATTATTATGGTTTTTTAAAAACGGGCACTCTTTTCCAGAATAATTATTAGCATTATATTCTGAATTGTGTTGTGAAACAGAACTTTACATAGGTAAAAGATAGATTAAAAAAAATTACCTACAAATATAAAATTGCATTAACTTCAAACTATGGTTGGGATACGTTGTTTATATACCCGAAGCAAAAGTATGGTGGAAATACTGTAATTCATCTGTACAATATGAATGTGCTAAAATTTGCTTTTATCCTTTATAAGCTATAGGAATAAAAATAATTGGGAATAACAACTCAGAACCAAAAAAGAAGGGTTTCACTCACATATTAGAATAACCTTATATCTATATATAAGTTATATTAATAATGCAAGATCTCAAAGATTACAGTTAAATTGAAAAGTGGTATGATTCTTTTTAAATATTATTTGAGACTCGTTAACTAAGGAAAATTTGTTTTCTGTTTCGGTATGGTTTCTGAAACACATTTAAGTTTTTTTTTTTAAAATACCCTTGTACTCCTCCTTCCCTGTGTTGTCTCTGCCCCCAAATAATTGATTTTTAAGGTAAAGAGTGCAGTTGTCAAGGCATTTTTTTCATTGTAATTTGGATATAATTTCTAATATTTGTAGTGGAAAATTCCCCTGAAAGATAAATAGTTTTCATCCTATGACACAAAAACAAAACCAGACACAAAATTTAACATAAATTTACCCTGAAATTGTCAAGGAAACTATCAACACAGGAAGCTATAAAAAATAAATTGAACTTTATTTAGTTAAACGTTTTTGTTGGCAACTCTTAAGGTTAGTTTGAACCTTAATTAACTAGTTATTCAACATGGCAGTACAGTTATGTCTAGTTTTGTTAGAGAAGCTCAAGTGGGATATAGGCAGACAAACAGATTTAGTCATTTCTGATTGCATTCAAAGTGAATTTTTGAAAATGTGAAAATACTTTTTCTATTTTGAAAAAGTGTTTCTATTGATTTTTTAGAGAAACATCTATGTGAGAGAGATACATTAATCAGCTGCCTCCTGCACGCCCCCTACTGGGGATCAAGTCCACAACCTGGACATGTGCCCTGACCAGGAACCAGGACCTGTCAGTCCATGGGATGATTGCCCCATCGACTGAGCCACACCTGCCGGGCTAAAGTGCATTTTTATTTTCATAAAAATAATACCTATGAAGGTTCAGCTGAAATCTGCTTTTCCTTCATCTCTATTATGACATATTTAGTCAGAATATTGATGTGCTGTGATGAATGTCTTAAAAATAACTTGTAATATACTCTGATTCCTGTCAACTTCATAAGGAATCCATTCAGAAATATTTTTAAAGGGTTTCGATATTAAAGAAACATGTTAAAACATCCTACTTCTGCATTGTGAAGTATAAGGAAGAAAAGTAGTACTGAGGCAGATTTTGTTTATTTTAGTGGTTTTATATGTGTATAATTTTGTTGCCTCATCTTGAGACTTAAAAAAAATCTGGTTATATACCCAGATAACAAAAATAGGTTATGACCTTCCTTTGAACTTCTTGATTTTTTTCCTCATTCTCACTTTTGCCTTTTTTATATTTTGTTCTTTTTCTGTTTTGAGCTCACATCACTCTTTTACTCCACAATAGTTATTGACCCACACTTAAATACCAGGTTTTGTGTTTACATTAATGAAATGGAAATAGCTCTTGACTTGGAAGACCTACTATTTGGGGTTTATTAATCCTCTGTAGTCATTGAGTGCTTAGGCATAGTGCTGAAATATTTATATATACTCTTTTAAAAATAATTTTATTTATTAATTGATTTTAGAGAAAGAGAGAAACAGACAGATTTGTTGTTCCACTTGTTTGTGTGTTCATTGGCTGATTCCTATATGTGCCCTAACTGGGTATCGAACACGCAACCTTGGAGTTGTTCGAGATGATGTTCTAACCAACTGAGCTACTTGGCCAGAGCTGCACACTTTTTTTATCCTCATAACTACCCTGCTAGGTAGGGTAGGTCATTACTTTTCAAATGTTTCTACTTAAGTAAGTGGCAGAAAAAAGTGATCTTTTGACGTATGGAAGGGAGGTGAAGCTTGAGTGATCAAGGAGTGTGGTGGAGGGAGAGAACTTAGGTGTTAACATTTTTATCAAATTAGTGTTTCCTCCTAAAAAGGATTTGGCTCTTACATTCTATTATTATAGCATTCTTTGTTTTAAAATAAAAATGTTTTAAATTAGCATGAGAGAATATTAAAAAAAGTGTTCTGTCCCAAATTTAGGATCATGGTAACACAGCACTGAGAACAGGATTTTTATTACTAATATCTAGCCATCATGGTTGCTTATTTATTAAATATTTGTTTTTTAATTTTAAGTAAACTTATCTAAGTATATGATACATTCAAGGACATGGACATAGCACCATATATCATGTACACTCTTGTATCTAGCTTCTTACCTCGAACATTTATTTTGATGTGATTCATCCATGTAGTATGTAGCAGTAGCTTATTCTCATTGTTATCTAGTATACTATTCTATTGTACCATAGTTTATCCGTTCTGTTGATGAACATCTAGGTTGTTTCCAGTTTTGAGCCACAGTGGATAGTGCCCCTATAGAACTTTCTTGTATGTACCTTTTGGTGTACATGTATACATTTCTTTAGGACATATAGCATGTAGTGGAATTGTTGGGCCATAGTGTGTGTTTATGTTTACTTTTAGCATATATTAACTAGTGCTCTCCAAAGTGGTTGGACCAATTTATATAGTCTCATAGTAGTGAATAAGAATTCCATTTGTTCCAACTACTCTGTAACATTTGCTTGATACTGTCTCATTTATTTAGCCTTCCTGGTGAGTATAAAGGGGTACTGCATTGTGGATGGGCTGGTTTTTCAAAATAAACATAATTCCCTTTCCCACTCATATCCTTATACCCCACTCGTGTGCACACCAAGGGAAAGAAATAGAGATAGCATGTTTATTTTCACAAAACCCATCTGCTAATTCTGGTTGTCTTGTCACTGTATAGTTCACTGGCTTTGTGACAAATGGTGCATTTCTACCCAACTATCACTAAACATGGAAAAGGTTTTAAGATTTTGCAAGCTGAGGAAGAGTTTTATAGACTCTTTTATTGAGTGAGTTTGCAACATTTTACCAAAACTTTAATTACACAATGCTGAAATGTTCTTGCTTTTACTTGACTGTCTACCTAGATTGTAGGTTGTATTCATTCATTATTTTGTGAGGTTTTGCTACTCCTTAAATAAGGGAAATACTGTATACACAGTAGAGCTTACTTAGTTTTTAGAACTTGAAAGTGAAATTGAGAAAATTTTACCATAGGCCCACAGCATGTGGTTTTTATATTTCTTGTTACTTATGAATTTTTTTCCTTGTGTCACAGAGGCAGTATTGCTAATATGTATTTTTATATCAAATTGTGTAGTGTAAACCAAGGATACAAAAACTATTTCTGCCTGTGTATTCTTTTCAGTGTTAGGATTGTGGTCAGTCTCTTCACATTCCTCAATGAATGTAGATTGTTAGAATCATATGTAGGGAATCACCATTCTTGTACCTATTGAGCATCATGATTAGTTGTTGATTTCATCCATTAAACACACACATATAGATTCATAACTGCAGATAAGCCTATAGTTTTCCCTTTTTAACATTTTATATGCCTTTTTGTAGCTAATATTTTTGTATCTGAATTCATTTCATACTGCTGCACAGCAAGCACTCTTCCAAGGTAGAACAGCTGTTTGATAAATACATGTGCTCTACATATTCATATTTATTTACTGATTTTTACTAGTCATAAGAATTTTGGAGTTATTAACTCATCAGCAGAGGACCTGAGATGGCATTTATGTCCTTAAGGAGGAACAGGAACAACTCAGTTTATTTTACAAAGCATTTCCTTGTGAGAGAGGTAGGGGCTGGTAGATGGCAATAGCTTCCTTTCATTAAGACTGGTTTGACTATGTGTTACTTCATTTCAGAAAAGGCTGGTTTAAAATCCAGGGTCTCTTTACAGATTGCTTTTCCTGGAACATTTTGCTTCATTTCTTTCTTTTTTCTCTTAATTCCTTCCTTCCTCTCTTCCTCCCTTCCTCCCTCCCTCACTCTCTGTAAACTATGCAGCTATGTGGAAAATTTTTTTCTTTAAGGAAAATTAAGCCATTTTAATGGTTATGGACATACAGGGTGTAATGATATAGACCCATAGCTCCCTACTACTGTTTACCCTAAGGTATGCTATTTTGTCATTTTTTCCCCATAGATTTTATAATTTAGAGGTCCAAAAAGTAGTAGTCCCTGTTATTTTTTCCCCAAGTATAATGGTTTATCCTACTTTTGCCTAGGATAGTACTGGTTTCTTTTTTCCAGCATCCTTTTTTTATTTTATTTAGCATTTGTAATAGATACTTTTTTAAAGATTTTAAAATGATTATTGTTATTATTTTAAATAAATATTTGTTCAGTCTTTTTTTTGTTTTGAAGAGAGAGAGAGGAAGGGAGAGGGGGAGAGAGAGAAATAAACATCAATGTGAGAGCAAAATATTGATTGACTGCTTCCTGCATGCCCCCTACCAGGCATTGAGCCCGCAAGCCAGGCATGTGCTCTGACCTGGAATCAACTAGCAACCTTTCGTGCGTGGGAGAATACCCAGCCAAGGCTGAAATAAATAATTTTTAATAAAAACTATTATTAATTGTTGCATTAAAATGAGCTTGAATAGTTTGGTAGATTTTTACTCCCAGCTGTTGCCATCGTCTAGTCTGGTGATAGGTGAGATACAAGTGCAGTAATGAGTTCTTTCTCTCTCTCTCTCTCTCTCTCTCTCTTTTTTTTTTTGGTGCATTGTTCCTGGCAGTACTGCAGTACCAGGTTGATGCGTGGAATAGATGGAGCAAGCTCCTAATTTATCTCCTAGTTCCAAAGATTCATTTAATACATTGTCTTTGGATAGATGATATATCAAATATTAAACTGATAAGAACAGATACTATATTTGATCTTAACCAAAAGCCTGAGAAGCAATGAGTTTTATCTTTAACAAGTGATGAAATGTGAAAGGAATCTGCTAAGTACACCGCTTTTTCCATAGCCCTTCTCAGATACAGTGTGACCAACACCTTCCTTTAATGAAGTATTAGGGTTGGGATCTCCATGATTGGAAGTGGGCTAGGACACAAATTACTAGGGGCAACTAACTTCTTTTGGTCTCAGGTGATGGTAAGAGATAAATTTGATGCCATTGCTCTTATTGACCACTTTGGTACCAGCCCGTTGTTTAATGTTCGTGCTGCAGCTTGCAAGATTCATGAAGTCACAAGGATGGCAACAGATAGTGCCTGTGGGAAGTATAGGTTATGTGAGCTGAAATAGTGGCCCAGCAGTCCTGCCATAGAATGTGTACAGAAGTACTGTTAAAGCTTTGTGCGTTGATGGAAATGTTTTATAATCTCCACTTTCCATTATGGTAGCCATTAGCCACTTGTGTTTATGTAGCACATAAAATAAGTCTAGTACAACGGAGGAACAGAATTTCCATTTTAATTTATTGCTTTATTTGGTAAGACTTATTGTGCAACAAACCTTTGACAGCAGTTAGTTAAAAAGCAGAAGTATGTATTTAATGAAAGTATACACTTAAGAAGTTGCTATTTTGCTTTTTTTAAAAAATACTTTCTATACCATTGCTCAGCAATGAAAATAAAGGAGCAGACAGTGGGTGATTATATTAATGAAGAGTGGAGGGTTTACAGAATGGTTGTGGTAAAAAAGAAAGGGAGTGAAATGTTAAGCTTGCTTACTAGAGAGTATTTGAAATGATGCATTTTTGGGTTTTGGTTTGATATGGCAGTAAAGTTATAATAGGGATGATTACTTAAGAAGAATGGGAAAGACTCAATGAAGTGTTGGTAATAAGAGATGTTGGGGATTAAATTGATAACATCAGGAATAAGTTCTGTTATAAAAAATTATATAATGAGATTTATTTTCATAGTGGGTCAAACTGTTCCAGGTAATAAGCTTCAAGTCAGAATCTTTGAACAAGATTGTTAAAATTTAAGTGGATGAGATCATTCAGAAAGGTCAAGGAATTGTGCTAGTAGGTCAGAAGTCCACAGGCGTGAAATTATGCAAGGTAATGGTAGGAATAGTGAGGAAGACAATGGAGACAAGGGCTGAAGTCCTGTGTATGGGAGACTAACTGGAAGAGAGGGTAGATGAAAACAAAGAAGACATTAAGAGAATATAACATTGGACTCATGCAATTGCCAGACAAGTTTGAAAAGATGGAAAAGTGATCTGGAATAAGAGTGGGGATTTGGAAGAACTCTACTTCCAGCTCAGCTCCTTTTTTTTAGATCCATCACAGGTGTCAGAAAAGGATATTATTTTAGTAATTCTACTTTATCTTCTTTGGCTAGGTATTTGCCTCTCTGAGCTTATCTGTGTTTGTCTAGTGCCTGACCTATTTAGGTACCTAATAAATGTTTGTTCAGTAAATGCTAGGTGAATGTGAAATTGTTCCAGTGTTCTGGAATTCTAGAACAAGGAGTATTGCTTATAGTCTTTAAAAAAGTGATTTGCAAATGATCTCACTTATTTGTGGAATATAATGAACAAAGTAAGCTAATGAACAAAATAGACCCAGAGACATAGAAGTAGGGTTCAGATTGACAAACCTTAGAAGAGGGGGTAAGGAGAGGGTAGAGATAAACCAAAGAACTTATATGCATAACCATGGACACAGATAACAATGTCTGGAGGGGAAGGGAGAAACATCTAAAACAAAAATAAATTAATACAAAAAAAGTGATTTGAAAATAAATAAAAGGAACTGTTACTTTAACACAATTGTATTTTCAAAGTATGAATTTAATTACCCTAATTTTACTTAGACATGTATTTCAAAGGGTAAAGCAGAAAATGAATGATAACTTCTTATATAAATTAGTAGATGGTAGTTTCATAATGAGCTATTTAGAGTAGTGAGAATTTTTGGGGGGACGATTCTTGATTTTTAGAGGTTAACTAGAGGATATTGCAAAATTGATGCATATCTTTCAGACTTTTCAGTGATTATTACAACTGTGATCTTTGGCAAGTGGTTATTTTGTTGTTTCCTTTCATTGGCACATTAGGCTTGTGAGGAAGGAATTGTAGCAGATTGAGTTTGTGCAAGATAAAGAAGTCTTAAGTAGTTTAAGTAAAAAAATTTTAGCCATTGCTGAATGAGCAGGAAAAGAGGAATGAAAGCAAAAGATTTTTTATTTTTGTAAAATACAACTATGGGGGCAAAAGTTTTAAACAAATATTTAGCCACATTTTCCTATAACAAAAATGGTTGGAAAAGGAAGAGGGAGAGAATATAGGTTTTCTATAGGGTGAATGTTTTAGGACTCAGATGAATTTGAAAAATGCCTAGGATTAATAATAGTGGATCCAGAGTTGGCAACTAACTATGCCGACACCACTATAAGTATGTTACAGACCTTGTCACCTTTAGTACTCACTATGATATTTCTTTTTTCAAATACAAGCAAGTTTATTTAATTTAGAAAGTCATAGAGGTAAAAAGGGTGAGCCAGCTGGGCTGCGTGTGCTGGGGGTGGGGGTGGGGGACAAGTTAGAGAGGCAAAAGAAGGGACCTTGGAACTTAGGAGAAAGAAAGCAAGGATATACTTCACCTGGAGAAGTGACATGGGGAAAGGCTCAGGGGTGTGTGTGTGTGTGTGTGTGTGTGTGTGTGTGTGAGAGAGAGAGAGAGAGAGAGAGAGAGAGCACGCGAGCGAGAGAGAGACAGATTGGTTGTCTCCTATATGTGTCCTGACTGGGATTGAACCCAAAACCTAGGTAGGTGCCCTGACTGTGACTGGGAATTGATCCCGCAACCTTTTGGTCTATAAGACAATGCTCCAACAAACTGAACCACCCAGCCATGGCAAGATTTTATTCTTTTTTTCTGGTTGAGTAATATTCCATTGGATATATGCACCACAACTTTTTTATCCACTCATCTATTGATTAGGCACTTGGGTTGCTTTCATACCTTGGCTATTTGTGAATAACGCTGCATTGAACACAGGGGCGCATATATCTGTTTGAATTAGTGTTTTGTGTTTCTTTGAATATATACCCCAAAATGGAATTGCTGGGTCATAGGCAGTTTCAGTTTTAATTTTTTGAGGAAGCTTCATATTATTTTTCATAGTGGCTGCACCAATTTACATTCCCACCAACAATACACAAGGGTTCCTTCTTCTCCAGAAAAATAATAGTATTTTCAGTTAAATCCTGGATTTAATTTATGACTCCTTGCTGGTGTTTTTTTTTTTTTTCCAACTTCTGTGACCTAACAGCACATTGCTTTTGCATTTCAACTTTTCTATCTGTAAAATAGTATTAACTACTTACTTCACAGAGTAGTGTAGAGGATCATGTGAAATAATATGTCTAAGAGTAAAGTTTTAAGTGTGAAGTAAGATCTTATGAATTACTGTACGAATAACTACAATACATTTGATTAATTCTGTGTGAGAGACATTCATGATGAAAGGGCTTGGTAGCTAGGGAGTAATTCATTTTACTGAGGAAAATGGTATGGGGGCATAGGTTGGTTACTAAAAGTTCTGTGGAAAGGGTTACATTTAAGATGGACAGTTCTCGTCAAGATGGCTGTATCGGTTCCTCCCATGACCACATTAAAATTGCAACTGAATTACAGAACAACCACCCTTGATAACTACCTGAAGATTAGCTGAATAGAAGTCTTATAACTATATAGAGAAGAAGCTATATTGAGATGAAGAGAGGCAGAGACAGGGATCTGGCTCATCCCACACACACATGTGGTAGTTAAAAATCAGGAAGACTATCTTGGCTCTGGAGGTCTCCCCACCCCCCAGGAGCAAGGGGTTTCAGTCACATAGCAGACTGCCTAGCCTGGAGCAGCATTGCTGGAAAGAGGAGCCCCACAGCAGCTGGCAATGAAAATCTGCAGGAATTTGGTCTGGGTGAGACAGGGGGCTGCTACAGATTCAGGCGTCCTCTTGAAGAGCAGCCCGCTGTGCACAGACTCATTTGCTCACAAATGCTCCCTAAGCTACAGGGAAGAGACAACAGCTGGAAAAGCGCCAGGGACCTACCAGGAGGAACTGAAAGTACAGAGAGTCCCAAACAAGGTGAACCCAAAGAGGCCCACACGTTATCATTAAAATGCCAAAGGTTAAAGACGAAGAATCTTAAAAGCAGCAAGAGAAAAGCAGTTAGTTACCTAATAACTTATGGGAGTGTTTAACTGATTTCTCAACAAACTTTGCAGGCCAAAGGAATTGGCATGAAATAAAGTGATGAAAAAGAAGGACCTACAACCAAAATTGCCTAGCAAAGCTATCATTTAGAATTGAAGGAGAAATAAAGAGCTTCCCGGCAGGAAAAAGGTGAAGGAGTTTATCACCACTGAAAACAGTATTACAAGAAATGTTAAAGGGAAGTCTTTAAGAAGAGAATAAAGAAAATAAAAAACATGAATAACAAAATAACACAAGGAAAAAAGTTTTTACGAACAAATGACACATTAAAGACAGTGAACCAACCAACACACAAAGGTCAAAAGGCAAAATGAGGAAGATAATATGTAATTAGAACAGTAAATTAAGGGTTACACACACACACAGAAGTAGTAAAAAGTAATGACAAAAACATAAATATGAAAGGGGTGAATAAAAATGGTAGTGACTTTAGAATGTGTTGGAACTTAAGCGATTATCAACTTAATATAGACTGCTATAAACATAGATTGGTGTATATGAAACACGTGGTAGCCACAAACCAAAAGTCTACAAGAACTATATAAGAAAGAAATAGAAGAATCCAAACACAATACTGTAGAATGTCACCAACATACAAGAGAGGAAGAGATATGAGAGGAGCAGAGAATTACAAAAACAATTAGAACAATAAAATGGCAAAAACTACATTCCTATCAGTAATCACTTTAAATGTAAATGTACTAAATGCTTGAATTAA